TGAGAGATTTTTTTATATTACAAGCGGTACATCGTACATCATATCTCACAATACAAGTATAAAGTGAAAGAGAGATATTTTTCAGCATTCATTTACTTTTATTATAACATGTAGTTTATTGCTATTTTTTTTCTTTTTGAGTATAATAATATATTTTACACTAAGGAGAGAGGGAGTTTGGTTAAGCCACACAATAGACAAACCTAGTTTGATATTGAATTTACCATTTACGAGATTTAAACTTAAAACATCTTACTTATAAGTAGAGATGAATACTACTGGATCTTAGTTTATTGCGATTTAACTTGAAAAATATCTCCATTCACTCATATTTGAAAGTGCAGGAGCAGGGAGATGCCATCTCTCCATAAGCTGAAGCAAAAGTATCACAATCCCCCCCTCTCCAACAACACACCCCACAACAATTAATATTCAAAGAGAATAAAAATGGAAGTGACCCTGGCCCCACCATTACTATTTGTACATGTAAAATTCTAAGTCCAAGTTCAAAGGTATTTGAATTTCAAGTCCAAGTTCAAAGATATTGGCCTCCACTAGTTTTGAGTGAGTGAATGGCATGTATTGTGCATGAAATTGTTGACCCCTTTTCCATGCCTTCCCCTATTACTAAGCAACATCCTAAATTGCACTTATAATTCTTCAAGTTTACTCAAGTTTGTAAGATCATCCTTTCCTTATACTTTACTCAATTTTGTACCATTCATCCATCCTTGTAGTTTCTTTGTTGTACTATTGTGTTTGTAGTTTCATTATGTTAGCACTGTCAGTCCAATCTGCCAAATGAGGTAAAATTTCTTCTAACTTGAATTGATTAAATGTTAAGATTAAAATTAGATGGAAAAATCAACTTAATTGACGAATTGACCTAAAATGAAAACAAATCAAACAACAACAGTGAAAATGAAAACGAAGAACAATTATAATAACAAAACTAAAAAGGGTGTTGATATTGCCGCTCTACAAAAATCATTTTACACCACTCATATTTTTGTGAGAGAATGTGCAGAATAACTTTTTTGAAGTGCCAATACATTACTCAAAGTGAAAATTTTAGGTGAACTATGTAGATTATTAGTGCAATTTGGCACTAAGTTAAAGCCATTACATTAGTAATGAGTTTTAGTTTACGCTCCAAGACATGTCAACATGAAGATGCATTCAACACAAGCTGAAAGTGAGCATCAAATTTTCACATTTATCGCATAACGAAAAACAACAACGACCAAACATTATCTACCTGAGTGGAGTCGGTTTTATCTCACTGAGTGAGATCGGATTTATCCTGCTAAGTGAGGTACAAAGAATTGATCACATAACACAGCCAAGGATTAATTGGAAAAACAAGTTAGGTCAATGATTTATTTTACTCCATTATTGTAAGATCCCACATAGCCCATGAAAGTGAATCTGGTAAGCCTTATATGTATATTCTCATCTCTACCTAGCACGAGGTCTTATATGTATATTCTCATCTCTACCTAGCACGAGGTCTTTTAGGAACTCAGGAACTCCAAAGTTAAGCTGGGACCAGAGCATAAGTTATCGTGTGAGTTCCTAAAAACAAAACCGTGAAGGAATGGTAAGGGCTCAATGCGGACAAACGGAGCCGGGCCTAGGTTGTGACAATTATAAACAAACCAGAGAAGTGATGAGCAAATGAGGTTTGTTTGCAAATGCACCATCTAGACAAATTGATGCATACCAAAATTAGCAAAGATTGTTTTCTCTTTGCATTCCCCAAATCTGTCCATGCAAATTGAAATTGAATCCCTTTCAAAATTTAGGCGAGAATAATAAACCCAGATCTAACACTCACCTCATCGCGTTCCAGATTCAAACCTCAACCTCTCTCCTCGAAAATCCTAAAAATTAAAAATCCATATTAAGGTTGCAGATTTCTACAAATCCTATCAAATTTGACACTTTAATAGGTCTTTTAAAATCCTCTTAAATCCTTGAGTTAAGGGAGCAATTCTCATCAAACACCATGCTTGTAATCATACAACAAAAAGAGAGAAAATTTATATTTTTAAAAGTGAAAAGAAAATTGAATGATTGATCATCATGCTCATCAAACGATCAACAGCATAATAATAACAACAAACAATCAAAGGCATAGAGCCGTACATCGAAGATCATGACCGTCCACCCCACCGCCCAAATCCCCATCCACATCCAACGGTGGGAAATTAAGATCGAAGGGCAGCGGGGCCTTGCGAAACGACGACGACGCAACGAAATCCCCGTCGTCCTCAACCACCGATGACGACGAGTCGCAGTCGCTGTGGCAGTCCTCGGGAACCACCGGCGGGGTCCTCGGCTGTCGTTTAGGCCGCGACAACTCGGCAGCCATCGTCGTAAATTGAGGCGGCGGCCGGGGCCCACTGAACGACTCCACGGTGGAGCTCAGGCTGCTGGATGCGGGTCTCTGAGGATCTACAACCGGATTGTCCTGAAATCCGTAACCCGACCCGAAAAGCTTTGCCTCGATAGTGTCGGTAGGGTTGTTGTAAAAGGGCGGGTAAGCACATGAGATCGGGAAGTTAGTCTTGGCCTTGGGGCCGCGGAGGATCCGAGCGGCGGCATCGTAAGCTCGGGCGGCGTCTTCGGCCGAGTCGAAGGTGCCGAGCCAAACCCGGGTCTTCTTCCACGGGTCCCGGATCTCGGCTGCAAACCGACCCCACGGTCTTCTCCGCACCCCTCGGTACCGGACCTCTTTGCCAATACTGCGTCTGGATCCGGTGGGTTCGGCCGGCGGCGCTGCGGCTCTCGTGGCTGCTCCTCTGCCCCTCCTCATGGCCAAGAATCGGGCTTTTTAGAGTCTGATGGTCATAGAAACAATTGGGTGTCGGAGAGATATTGATTGGGGATATTGAAATTTGGGTTTTAGTGAGGAGAGAGAGAGAGAGGATAGGTTTTCTTTGAGGGATGGGTGGGAGAAGTACTGGAGGGCACCAGCACCACCTTCTCTTCTACACAAAAAATATGTTAAATAATAATGATATTTGTGATTTTTTATTTTTTTGGGGTTATTTAATAGCCCTCTTTAGACAATCGGAAGTAGATTGTCTGCCCTTCTTTTATAATCTATTTCTCATCTTTTTGTATTTGTGTGTTCACAGTAACGTCAATATTTTATATTAATTTTTTTTATAAAAATAATAAAACAAAAAGCAATAAAAATATAAAATATTAACATAACTTAACTGTGATCGCACAAATAAAATAAGATAAGAAGGATACCATAACAAGATAGCAGACAATCTGCCTCCTAGACAATCACCAATAAAAAAAAAGGCCAGCTTCAAAACTGTATTGAGTGATAGCCCTCATTGACGATAGTGCCCTTCACTTAAATACCACTCCTAACAATTACAACAATACTTGGCTACTCTTAATCAAAATTCTTTGTGTTCAAATTATAGGATTTTATGTTTATGATCATAACTTTTTATATTATGAGTCACTTTGTAAAGATCATCTGTGCAAAAAATAAATTAAAAATAAGGTCTTTTGGTCAATTTATTGTAGCAAATACATAGACGGTACACAATGACTAAACGACCTTAGTTTTTAATTGTTTTTTTTGCAGAGATGATCGTTATAGAGTGATTTATAATATAAACTATTATAATCATAAACACAAAGATCTATAATTCGACAAAGAACAATTTTAAATAGGAACTCATACTCATCATTTGAGTAGCTAAGTATTGTTATCGACAACTTACCCAATGCTTATCAATGATGATTATTTTGGTTTAGCATTTTTGTATTAGCTTATGATGGTTAGCATGCATAGATATCTTTTGTAGGTCATGGATGATGAATTTCCACTATATTTACTCAATTCGGTGATAAGTTTGTTGTTTGAATTGGGAATATATTGTATTTACAAAATATGTTATCACTTCGAACCCAGAGATTATGAAAGTATATTTTTATTTATATTGAGACCAACTCAATGGTTGAGTTAAAATTCAAAATTTAAGTTTTAAACTCATCTAAAAATTCTTTAAGCATTGGGCTAAAAAAAAGATTTTGGGTTAAAACTTCTTTCTAGGCCAATGTAGCTTAAAAATGAGCTAAGGTTAGTGGTTACGACCCAACGTTGAGACCCAGTTGCTAACGCTGTCAACCACTTGCAGAAAGACTAACGATTATTTTTTTTAACGACCGACGTAGTCAGACCTTAGGTTCAACCAACGGTCCAGATTCAGTTTAAAAAAAAATCAAATTTATAAATACATTAAATCCAATAGTTGAAATCGAATATAATCAAATCTATATAAAAAAAAGATCTAACAACACAAATTAAATCCAACGGCGAATGCATTTAAAAAATTATTGAAATCAAAATTCACTCAAAAACTCTATAAGTACCTATGTATTTGTCCAAGCATTCACATAAAAAATCTAATTGTGCACTCCAAACTTCTATGTTTGGAAAAAAAAAAAAACTCTTATAAGAATGTGATGAAATTGAGGTTCTACCACAAAAGCAATTGGCCTTATAGGGAGTAGTCCAAAATCATATAAGCACATAACAAATATTGTCTCTCACCGATGTGGGACAACTCTCAACACGCCCCTGCAAGTGTGGCGGATTTTCAAGCCTACATATGGACAACAACTGGGTGACGTGAAGCACGTGTGGCCGTTTGACTTCACACGAGGACAACCCACTCTGATACCATAATGAAATTGAGGTTCCACCATAAAACTAATTGGCCTTATAGGGAGTAGTCTAAGATCATCTAAACACATAGCAAACCTTGTCCCTCACCGATGTGAGACAACTCTCAACAGACTGCACAACAGATTTTTGAAGTGTCATAGTTCCCATTATTTAAAAAAAATTGTATTAATGAGGAGCTGAAAACGAAACTATCATGTTCAGAGGTATAATATAGATGATCTCGATAGAATGATTTGGAGGGAATATGTATCTGATGTCGATGGAGTATGCAAAGGACATCGGTGGAATATGAACGTAATAATGACAAAAGATGAAGATAGTATCGACATAATATGTATACACACTGTCCACAGCTGGTGCAAAATATGATTATTCGATTGAGCACTGGATTATACAACTTTCATTTCATCACAGTTGCAACTAATAACGTTTTAAGTTCACTATACTTTAAATTGAGCAACTGAAAAATAGAAGCGAAAAATGAAGGCGGCGTTTAAAGCTCCAATGACTTCTTGAAGCTTTTCAATTAACCTTCGTGCAAAGGCGCAGATGCAGGGTGCAGTGTTGTAGGTTTGCTGAGAAAAGTAGTTTAAGTTGTCAAGTATTAGCTCACAAGAAATGCTAAGTGGACTTTCTCAAAAGGAATTCTTTGTGGACTCTCAACCACATAAGTTTAACGTTAATTTTAGTTTTAACTTTATAAAACATTGTGTCAGAAACATGAGGTGACAGATAATTCATAATTTTTTTTTTTTTGGGTCAAGGAAGATTTTATTAACACCAAAGATACATATTACAAACAAAATGACCACAAACAGAGAAACATAAACAAACAAAAAAAAAAGGATCAACCAGACAATCCAACAATAGCTCAACCAAACAGCTAAAGCCCAACGACTTAAAAACACAAAATCGGGAAGTCCACTATACTCACCTCCATCGGAATCGTACATCTTGATCTGCACCAATCCACCCTATCACCGAGCATCGCCTCACCAAACTCATCATCCAAACCCAAACAGCTTCTCCGGGTAGGAAAGAGAAGTGGTAAGGGGAAGCTAGAAAGATAAGAAGAGAAGGACATATCAAGAATCAAGATGTAGTGGAGGGGGAATACACAGCAGAAAAGGGGAAAACTCTTACAAAAAGAAGGGAAAAACTCTCACGATAGAGAGAAGGTCTTTCACGGAATAAGAGAAGTTAAAAAAAAAAAAAGGAGTTTTAATGAAACACTCACAGAGCTGTTCACTTTTAACGAAATTGACATTTTTACTCTAAAAAGTCACTCCTGGTACTATTCACTTATAACACATTTTTGTCGTTTTGATTAAAACTTAAAGTTTTCAAACTATTTTCATTAGTTTTCCTTAAAAAAAAAATCACTTTTGAGCGAATCCCCTTAAGATTTCTCTTTCCTTCTCATCAATTAATCCATTGAGTGAAGACTAAAATAATAGGGATATAAACTGATAAGGCTCATTTTGGTTACTATGTAGAAGGCTTAGCTTAATAGGCTAATAGCTTGCACAAAAGAGGACAAGTACAAATTAGATAAAATATATTTTAGATGCGGTCCCTAATTCTTAACATTATTTTTATTAAAACCTTAATAGTATTCAAAGTTTGATCAAGGTTCCTTGACTTTGTACACCTCATTATATTACTATTACTATTAATATTAATATTAATATTAATGTTTTTATAGTTTTGATATTAATTATTTGATATTTTATAAGATTTATAATCCTATAAATTTAAAATACCTCATTATAATACTATTAGAAACGGTTACAATAAAATAATTCAAACATTTTGATTGAATAAATGGATAAAAACTATGTAAAAATTAGAAATAATAAATGGCAAATGAATGTATCCATAGTGTTAAAAAAAAATTTGTACATTTTACAAAAAAATTGGTACATTTCATATATAACAAAGAGGTACATTTTTAAAAATACTGAAACTTTATAAATTAGGGTACATATAAAAGATTAAAAATTATGAATACAAATGAATTTTTAAAAATATAGACACTAAAAGAAATTAATACATGGGTACAAAATAAAACTAAAAAGAAAATACTACAAATTTAAAAAAAAATGTTGCAAATTAAAAGTGGGTACAAACTAAAAATATAAATATATGATACAAAGTTTAGGCATAAAACATAAATATACCATATATAATTTTTCTATCATTGATTAATTATATAATGTCACGTGAGGGTATACACATGGGTACAAACACAAATAAAACTTTAAAAAATATGGGCACAAAAAGAAACTAATATATGGGTACAAATCAAAATGAAAAGAAAATTGGTACAAATTAAAAAATATTTACAAATTAAAAATAGGTACAAACTAAAAATAAAAAATATATGATAAAAAATTTAGCCATAAATATAAATATACTAATTGTAACATTTTTAACATTAAAGGAAATATTTAAAAATAAAAATATTTTATTATTCAAATAATTAATGATGTTATTAATACCCAAAGACCTTGTTCAAAAATTGAAAATGAATAGGATTTTAATCAATGGATTAACAAAAATAAGGATGTGAACCTAATTTTCCCATTAGATAATTTAGTAAAAAGAAAACTCATGAAAATGATTTGAAAACTTTGAGTTTTAATCAAAATGACAAAAAAATGTTGTAAGTAAATAGTACCAGGAGTGACTTTTTAGAGTAAAAATGTTATTTTCGTTAAAATGAACAGTATTGAAAATGTTTCGTTAAAACTTCCCATTGGAAAAAGGCTTTGTTTTATGGAGGTGGATTATCTGCCCTCCCATTTCCATACTCTCATCATCCCCTCCTGTTTGTGTGGTCATGGTTAAGCCACGTCAACATTTTATATTCCTATTACTTTTTGTTTTATTATTTCTATAAAAAATTAATATAAAATGTTGACGTGGCTTAACCGTGATCACATATCACAGGAGGGCATGGAGAGAGTATAGAAATAGGAGGGCAGACAATCCACCTCTTTTTTTATTGGTAGCTTTGTATTAAGGCTCCTAAACCCAATTTCTCTAATTTTAAATTGCATTTTATTGTGTTGAATTTAATTGTTTTGGGGTTCTGGGTTCTATGGCTGAGATGAAATTGGCCCTTATGTGGTCCAAATATTAAGCTTTTCGGTTGTTTTTTTTCGTTGGTTTCTTTGGTTCTTCCTTTCTCGGTTTCTCAACCTTTCTCTAGCCCCCACAAACCGACCCGGACTCTATTGCTCTGCCCCTTCCCTTATCATTCTTGTTCCCCCAAATGTTCTTTTCAAATTTCGTATATGTTCTTTTCAAATTTCGTATATTATGAATTTCTTTTCAAAAATGCTTTTTTCAGCTTTTCCACTGCATTCAAATCTAATTAGCATGTCATATTTAGTACTATAGTTAAGTTGTAATTCTCTTAATTATAAATGAACGTTAGTATTACTGTTTAGTGTTTTTCTTCTTTAATTTTCAGTGCCAATTTACTACAAGTTTGTTTGAAATTACCAAATGACCCTTGTTCTTTTGACTTTTATAATGTGTTCAAGCCTAAATATACTTTGTTATTTAGCATTACGGTTCAATAATAATTATCTTTATTTATAGGTTAAAAATGTCATAGAGTTCACTACTCCTACATCATTTTATTAAAGGAAATTATGAATGTTATGGCTCGTGGAATAAGGACCTTAAAATAAATAATTATCCTATGAGAATACAAAAATACATTTCTTTTTTTCTTGGTTGTTATTTTATCATATGATTTTCTTTATTTGTTGGTGAGTTATATTCACTGCTTTGTGTTGGGAATTTGGTTTGGGTGAATGAAGAGAGGGGTTGAAAACTTGAAGGCCAATGAATAATGGGTGTAGGCAAGGAGGCAATGATTAAAAGGGTGGAATAGTAATTTGCGGTAACTTTATTTATTTTGTTTTAATTTTGTTGGTACAAACTACAAAGAAGTTATCTTTCAAATTCAGATCTCACAAACATTTTCTTTGGATATTAACTTGCGTATAACACATTTTCTTTGGATATTAACTTGCGTATAACCTCAATCTTATACAAAACATATTATGTGTATTTAATACATTTTTCCTAATACAAAAATACATTTTGGTACAAGGCATTTGTCAGCGTTGCAAATCGAAAAAAAAAAAAGAAAAAATGTTCAATCCTTAATATAATATGATGGGTTTAGAGTTCAACATTTAAGGTTTGGATATTAATGATTGTACATTTGTTATGATACTGTGAATTCGAGAATCATTCAATCTCATTCTCGTTAATGGTAATGGAACCTTTACGTTTGATTTGTTGTGGATTATGACTACTTAATGATTGCCACGACTTTGTTTTCAATGTCAGAGAGGTTCCTTTCTTGGTTGTAATCAAGGTTCTAAAAGTCGCTAGGCGCTAGTCGGGCGGCGGGCTGGAGCCTAGCGCCTAGGCAGCTAGGCGGAGCCTAGGCGGTCTAGGCGGATTTAAGTAAATCTATCATATTTCATGTAAATAAGTGTCTACTTCTACTTGAAATATATATAATTTCATCATAAACTACAAAATAGAATGCATATATATCATGAAGTATTGGAACATAATGAAAACATGTGAAATAAGGATATAATGTTTGTTCATTCAAGTATGCAACAAGTCTCTTACAATTTATTGGAAAAAAACAAAATGCAAAATGAAAGTTATGTATTTTCTGTCTAAGTGAGTTGCAACCTAGGCGGGTCTAGGCGGATGCCTAGGCGGGCTAGGCGGGTGCCTAGGTGGTCTAGGCGGTGGGCTGGGCCTAGGCATTAATCGGGGCGGTGGGCTAGGGCCTAGCGCCTAGGCGGGGCCTAGGCGGTGCTAGGCGGGGATTTTTAGAACAGTGATTGTAATCGTTGAATGACAAGTTCAGGTCATGCATACCCAAAACGCAATATATGCTTGGTTGTTCAGCCACATATTGACATACCTACAGTCAATTAAGACTTCCAAAGAACGTAATTAGGTCATAGATTTTCAGCATGCTCCCCACATAAGTTGTGTCGATTAACACGACTTTTTATTGCTTAACCCAAAAACCACTAACTTTTTGTGTCGTGCCTAATTTTTCCATGTTTAATTGCAACCCTCGCCCACTAAATTGGCAGGTGTTTTCTTTTCATATAGAACCAAAAATTGGGTTTGGAATACTAAAAGCATCATAGTTGCCATTCTCGTTAAAAACGAATTTGAACCACATTATTACTATCACATTGTAACCCACCTCTTTTTATTTAGTGTAGATAATATTGTCTGTTAAAAAAAAAAAAAAAAAAAAAACTAGACATGCTTCAATCCCACAAGACTTGCCGGAATCCTAATTGGGATCGATCACATTTAATTGCAGAAGAGAGAGGACAACGTTTTGGGTTTGCAAGATCAACCCAGGTTTGCCTGATTCTTGAACAAAAACCGAGCCCATTGAGACCAATCTGTATGCAGCCTAATTGGGGCTTTGGAAATTGATAAAATTTACGAAGACGATTCATAAACTCCTAAAGCTATACAAAGGCTTAATGAAAATATTACGAGAAAGTGCACAAATAGATCTCTGTCGATAAATATGTCGCACCTGAGGAACTTAAAACTTATGCATAATAATCTAATTTTTTTATCATTTTACTTTACATAAGTAATAAGACTATTATGTTATATATTTTTTAATTTTGAACAGAAGCTTTGTAGCCTACCATAAGATAATTGACATTGACAAAAACAAAAGGCAATGGAAATGCAGATTGGAGACGTAATACATTGAGAAATATGTCAAACCAAACACAACTAATCGAAATTAGTATATTCATTAAATAATGATGATAACAATAAATAAATAAATAAATGCAAATACAAATCTAATAAAATAGGTGCTTACTGCTCTATAATCCATGAATGTAGCTCTTAAATATAAGATAAGTCCCAACTAACATCAGACTCCTATCAGAATAATTACTCACGAAACTAAAACAACTCTCATCTTAATTTCTTCCTTTAGTAACCTGTCGGAAACTCGCACGTCCCATACTCTGTCAACAAAACAAAACAAAAAAAAATTAGTGTGCTTAGTATAGAGGCATTCTAACGTTAAATTGCGTGTTAGATTATTACTCGTAAAACAAAATCCATCACCCTATTGAGTAA